ACCATCTCTGTCTTTTTTTTAAGATTTTAAAAAATTATTCATTATTTATTTTAGAGAGAGCGAGAGCACAAGCGAGGGGAGGAGCAGAGGGGTAGAGAGAAGGAGGGGAAAGAATCTTAAGCAGACTCCTTGCTGAGCATGGAGCCCCATGTGGGGCTTGATCTCACGACTCTGAGATTATGACCTGAGCTGAAATCAAGAGTCGGACACTTAACTGACTGAGCCACCCAGGCGCCCCATCATCTCCTTTTGATTGTTTCCATTAGAATACAAAATTCTCTAATATCTTCCATTTTGAAAAAAGAAAAAAAAAACAATTTTCCCTCTTCCTATCTCCTCTCAGTCCTCAGTTCTCTGCTCCCTATCTCAGGAAAACAGGGGAATTGTCTATACTTGCTTTATCACTTCCTTTCTACCCTTTATTTTTTTGAACACACTCCATTCAGGTTTTTGCTCACATGAGTCCTCTGAAACTACTCTTGTCAAGATGTCCATGTTGAGAAATCTAATGGACACTTAAATTTTCAGCAACATTCAACACAGTTGATCCTTTTCTCCTTTTAGGCACATTTTTCTTCTCTCCTTATTCTTCTTTGCTGGATCCTTTTCTTCAAGACCTGTAAGTGTTGTCCTCATTGAATCTTAGTCCTGGACCCCTTTCTACACATACACATTCTCCCTAGGTAAACTCTTCCATTTCATTATTTTAAATGCCTCCAAAATTTATCTTTCCAATCCTGTCTTCTCACCATATGTTCTACTCAGAATCTCTATATGGATATCTAAAAGACAATTCAAACTCAATATATCCAAATTTACTATGCTTGATTTTCTTCTTCAAACCTGTGCTTTTCCTGGTCATGCTATTGGGAAATGACTTCCATTTAGATGCTTAAGGGAAAAACCTAGAAATTAATCCTTGGTTTTTCTTTCCTTCACTTCTGTCAGAAGTCCAGCTGGCTGTATCTCCAGAATAACTCCAATTAGCCATCATCCACTTCCACTGAAAATACACAGTAGCCTCCCATACAGGTTCTCTGCTTTCATTCTCATTCTTTTATAATCCTTTCTCCTCAAAGCAGTCGGAGTAATCTTCTAGAGTCATTAATTAGAGCATGTCCTTCTCCTGTTTTAAACTCCTGCAGTAGCTCCCATCACATTTAATCTAACCTCTTTGCCATGATTTACAAGGTACCTACATAATGTGGCTCCTTATGTCTTTGTAACCATCTCTCAAACTTCTTCTTCTTCCCAAAGTGCACTCAGCTCTTCTGGCCTCTTTTTTCTTCTTCAAAGAAGTCAAACCCATTTCTGCCTCACAGCCTTTGTACCTTTTCTTCTCTCTCCCAGAATGTTCTTCACTACCTTCTTCCCACTGCTGGTTCCTTTTCATTGTTTAGACCTCAATTTAAATCCCACATCTTTGGAGAAGACTGTCCTGACCACCTTTTGTAAATTTGGCCCTCTCCAGATGCTTGCTATCAACTATTTTGTTTCTAGCTCCTAGCACAACTTGCAAACATCTTGTTTATTTTGCCCGTTCCCACTGAGAACTAAGTTCCCAAGAGTACGGACTTCTCTGTTCAGCACTATGTCTTCAGTTCCTACAACAGAGTCTGAGACCTTGGAGACCTTAAGAAATATTGGTTGAATAAATGAATGTTTAGGTTTTCTGGTGTCTCAAACTACTGCCATTCGTTTATTATATAGTAGTAAATCATCAATCGGTTTAAGAGTTTTTAAAACTGAGGTACTGGGGTGCCTGGGTGGCTCAGTTGGTTAAATGTTTGCCTTCAGCTCAGGTCATGATCTCAGGATCCTGGGATCAAGTTCCACACCAGGCTCCATGCTCAGCAGGGAGTCTGCTTCTCCCTCTCCGTCTGCCCCCCCCCCTGCTCATGCTCTCTCTCTCTCTAATAAATAAATTAAAAATCTTAAAAAACAACAACAACAAAAACCCAGAGGTACCCTAAGTCCTTTAGGCAGTTTTACTTGATGATCTAGATTCTGAATGTCTTGTTCTGCAACATTCTCAGTGAAAATTTAACTTGTTTCAGGAAAACTTAGCACAATTGAAGCATGCTTATTAGCATGTGTTTAAGAGAGCAAGATTCCAGTTTTATTGCCACCTTTCCCCATATCTGTAACCAGAAGAGAGTGCCCTTGTCTTTTATATTATTGGAAATTATTTTCAATGTAGTCTGCATAATTAAGTAACATGTCTTCTTTTATAACAAACTTGTATCATGTTAGTGCTTTCTAATTCTGTAATTTGAGTATTACCCTGCAACATAAAGGAAATGTGATGAATGATAGCTAGTTTTTTTTCTGTACCTTTCAAGCATACGGCTAAATGAGACTACAAATGAAGTTATTATATGATTAGAGAATAGTAAAACAAAGTATCTCTTATGCAAGCAGTAATGTTCTTTCCCTTACTATTAATATCTATAATTATCCCATGAAGTAACTTTTTCCCAAGATGAAAGCACACAAGGTTATTGTATTTAGAAATTTCTGAGGGGACAAGGAAATACTCTTCTCTGCCAGCTGTGGACCAGTCATGAGTCCTCAGTGTCAATGGTTCTGTATATACAGGCTTGAGCCTGTTTCCACTTGAACTCATTTAGCATAACTTGCTAGTATAAAAGCAAAATAAAACGTCCCTAAATGATTAATTGACTTATAGGATGTGCATTTTCTCACTTTTAAAAATTGCATTGATTTCATTTTTTGTTAACAAAAATTTTATTCCATGTTCACATTTTTTGGGGGGTGGGAAATACAGTTTGAACTGTGTAGATCATCTTATATGTAGATTTTTACAGCTTGTTACTATAAATGTATTTCTCTTATGATTTTAATATTTTCTCTAGCTTACTTTATCATAAGAATACACTAATACATGTTTATATAATACATGCTTTGTGTTAATCAACTGTTTATGTTATCAATAAGGCTTTTGGTCAACTATAAGCTATTAGTAGTTAAGTTTTGGGGGAGTTTAAGTTATACTTGGATTTTTGATGTTGCAGGGGTTGGGGCTCCTTGCCCCCACATTGTTCAAGAGTCAACTGTATACATAGTTCATTTTGCCTTATTAGAAATCTTTCCCTGTTTGGTCAGAATCCCGAAGATTATCTTTACACAGGACAGAGTCCTGCTGTTTTGAATCTGTATTACCCAGTAAGTTCTGGACCTTGGGCAATGTGCAGAGGAGCTATGAATGAATCTTAACCTGAGAACCTCAAATGTCACCTTCTTAGAGAGACCTTTCCCACTCCCTCATTTCATTGCTTAGTTCTCATTCAGAAGCTAGTCCTAAAATTACCTTGTTTACTTATTTATTATCTCCTTATGTAGAAAGTTATCTTTGTCTTTGTGTTTACTTTGGATCCCCAGTACGTGGACCAAGGGCACTTAAGCATTTGTGGAATTAATAAATCATTTTCTTGGGGCATCTGGGTGGCTCAGGTCCTGATCTCAAGGTCCTAGGATTGAGCCCTATTGGGCTCCCAGCTCAGCGGGGAGTCTGCTTCTCTCTCTCCCTTTGCCTCTCCCCCCCATTCTCTCTTTCTGGCTCTCAAATAAATAAATCTTAAAAAATTAATTTCTTAATCACCTATAAATAGTGCTTTAAAAAAATCTTGTAATAGTGAAACATCATGCTGACCGCTGAAATTCTCAGATACACAGTCTGCCTTGTTTTTTTCTATAAAGGCCACTTATTTTATAGTTTAAACTCTAGCTGCAAATTAGTGGGAGTTGGTAGCCACTCAAGGAAAATAAAGTTTATCTGCCTAATTAAATGAAATTTTCAAAAGTTTTTTTTTTTTTTAATCTAGTCTTCCAACCACATACCAGTTATTTCCTGACATCCATATTTGCCAGAGAATTTCATCCCACGCTACAAAATTCCTAATTCTGGAGGGGAAGTGGGTGAATAAATGGTGCTGAAAATTTATAAGGCCACTTTGATCTGAACCCTGATAAAATTTGGCTTCCTGGGTTTAGTAAGACTGCAAGGTCATTTTTGAGCAATGTTCCCCCCCCCTCCTTTGGAAAGCGGTTTTCCTCGTATTAAATCCATTTGTTTACAATTCCACTGTGGAATTACCCTCTCCCTACATACCTAGACGTTAGGATAGAGCTTAAATCCTATCGTTAGTTCTCACAAAAGGTTAATTCCTGTTATCAGGGTTCGAGGAGCTAGTGGGAAAACCCGGAAGGCCGCTGCCCCAAGTCCCTGGCCGAGGTCTTCTCTGCCGGAGGTCAAAGCTGTGGCGAGTGTCTGGGCAGGACTCTCCACCAGCCACGCGCAGTCAAGCTCTGAGCCCACACCCTTCGCGGCCCTGCGCGGGCAGGCCTGTGGCCCCGCACTCAAAGTCGAGCCTAGGTCACGCTCCTTCTCTGCTCAGGGGGCCGCTGGACTGGCCAGGAGCGCGACGGAGATGCGCAACCTGGAGGCTGAGGAGGGGATGGCGGGGGAGGGTCGGCTGCTCGAGGAGCTCTAAGCCGCTCTCTTTGTCGTGGGGGCGGGGAGACGAAGCCTTCTGTATTTCAAAGTACCGGGCGTCGTTCCCGCACCGCCCCGCCGTAGCCTCAGATAGCAGCAGACAACGTCACGCAGACGGACCGCGACTGGAAAGCGCTCCCCCTTCACTTCTCCAGCCACCTCTACTCCCCGCCCCTCCGGTCCTTTCCGCGCACACCCCGCCCCGTGAGCTGCCACGTGAGGGAATCCACTAGTCAGCCTATGGGGGCCAGCTCCGCCCTACGCCCCCGCCTTGCCCCCTGCTCCGCGCGCCGCCACGTGATGCGGCTCACCGCCAGCCAATGGACGCCAGCCTTGCCTCGCGCCCCGCCCCGCGCGCCGTGGCCGTTTGAAGTGACTAATTTCTGTCATATGACTGAGGCGCTCATGGGGGTGGCGGGGCTGCTCTAGGAGCGGGGGCCTAGCGAGCGCCCTAAGGAGCGACCCTGGTCTGGCCGTGGTCAGCATGGCCCCTACGCTGTTCCAGAAGCTCTTCAGCAAGAGGAGCGGGCTGGGCGCGGCAGGTCGGGACGCGCGGGACCCAGACTGCGCGTTCAGGTAGGGCGCTGCGGGGCGGGGGGGTTGGGGGGTGCTGAGCCGATGGCCTTGTGGGCTCCGCGCTCCAGATGTGCAGGGGCCTTCGGTATTCGTGCTCGCGCGGCAGCGCCACGCAGAGACTGGGACCTGGGCCCCGGTGGGGAGTGGCTGGGCAGCTGCGGACCTGCGCTGGAGGGTTAGAGCGAGGTCCTCTCGCCCCACCACCCCCATCCCGGCACTTGCCCCTTCCCCCTCCTCCCGGCCGGTTTGTTTACGTCCTGCCCGGCTGCCACGCGCGGCTGTGCCTTCCCCACCGAGCACCGCGGCCTGAGCGTAGGGTCCACACTCCTTTCAGGCAGCCAGTAGAGTTGGGAGCGGGCTGAGCTGGAGCTCAGCCCCAGTCCTCGGGGCCCAGAAGTTCTCTCCTCCTCCCCGAGGCCCATCGCTCTCTGGGTGCTTCATTCCGGCCTGTTTGCTGTTGTGGGGAGAGCTGCACGTTTTGGGCAACCTTCTGAGGGTAGAAGGCTGGAGGAGCGAGTAGGCAAGGTCCCGTTCTTTTAGATTTCTTGGAAACTAATAGTGGAGGTGTGCAGTTACCAGAACGAGCGGTCTTATTGTTATCGAAGGAGAAAGGTGAAACCTAAGAGGTTATGGTACTACTGACTAGACTGAAGCAGGACCGAATCAAAGGAAGCACGGCCTTAGAATTGACCATAGAATCATCCCGTTACGACTGTTACCAGAAAGGGGTCTTGAAAAATTGAAAACGATAGCAAAATATTTTGTGGTATCACAGGCTTTATTAATTTTTGGTTGCAGTACCTGTTGCTGGTAGAAAAACTTCTTAGAATTTTAAGACAATGTAGTAGAATCATGAATTCAAGGTAAAATTTAGTCGCCAAACCACATTTGAAGAAGAGATTATGTCTTACACATAGCCTTCATACTTGTTGCGGTGTGGAAACTTGTAAATATAACTAGGCTAAATGTCACATATCTCTCAAACCTGGTAGGACAGCAAAGAGCCCAGTTGTTCAGTAGTAGTAGGAAAAAATGAGAGTCTGTTAAATTTTGCAACAGGCAGAAGTTTGAAATGACTGTACCACACTGGTAAAAGGTTTTCATATTCTTAAAATTATTCACCCTCTCTCGGTAATGCAGGTCACATTACGGAATTGTAGTATTAAATGGAAAGAACTTAACTGGCTTTTAGAGGAAGAAAAATCACAATGTGAACATCTTGGAAAAGTGTCTAGTAAAACAGTTTTCTGGGTTTGGGTCTTTTCCACTGGGAAATATCTTGCCATATTCATCTAATGACTTTTAAAGAACATTTCTTTACCGATTTTCTTTTGAAAAACCATAGTGTAGTCTAGATAATACTACACTGAGACATCCAGTAAATCAAGAGTCCATAGAAAGCAGGTTGAGAATATTAAAAAGGTGACGTTTGATTAGACTGTCTTTCTGGGCAAAGATTGACTTTGGGGTACTCAAGTTTCCAAGGGTCTCAAGTCACTCATATGAAAAAAATTTTCATGTCTATTTTTAAAAAACGTAAAGCCTACTATATAGTTGTGTAACACTACTTTAGAGTTGCCAAAGCACTTTCCCACTAGTTATCTCATGTGATATTTCACAACAACCTTGTGAGATAGAGCAAGTAGCAGTATAGATAACTATATGATACTTTTTTCAGTGGAAGTAAGAATTACGTATACGCCCAATAAGTGCAGTATGATTTAGAAGTGATTGCTTTATAAAAAATGTGTACAAGTGTACATGTGAGAAAATGAGAACTGGTTAACGTCATACAGCTAGAAACTTGCAGATCTAGGTAACCCAGGTAATTTTTCCTTTTTTAAGATTTTATTTATTTGTCAGAGAAAGAACACAAGCAGGGGGAGTGGCAGGCAGAGGGAGAAACAGGCTTCCCACTGAGCAAGGAGGCCAATGTGGGACTAGATCCCAGGACTTTGGGATCATGACCTGAGCCGAAGGCAGGTGCTTAACCAACTGAGCCACCCAGGCATCCCAGTAATTTTTTTAAACAACTTCAATTTACATACAGTAAAATTAAGCCTACTGCACAGTTCTGTGAATTTTGTTATACGTATACTTGTAGTCACCACCCCAGTTAAGTTGTAGAACACTTCCATCCCCCCAGAAGTTCCCTCATGCCCCTTTGTAGTCAGTTCTTAACCCATCCTTACTCAGGGCAGTCATTGATCTGCTCTAATGAGTGAAGTGTTGACTTTTCTAGAATTTCCTATAAGTGTGATCATATTGTTTATAGTCTTTTCTGTCTGGCTTATTTTAACTCAGTGATGATTTTTGAGATTCATCTAAGTTGCATTTATCAGTAGTTCCTTCGATTTTATTGCTGAGTAGTATTCCATTGTATGGGTGTACTACAATTTCTTTATCCATTCACTACCAATTAGTAGACATTTGGATTGTTCCCAGATTTGGGCTGTGATGAACAATGTTGCTATGAACTTTTGTGTACAAATCTTTAGGCAGACATATGTTTTCATTTCTCTTGGATGGTTACCTAGGATTGGGATTGCTGGGTCACATGGCTAAGTATATGCTTAACTTCTAAAAAGATTGCCAAACTTTTCTGAAGTAGCTGTACCATTTTGTATTCCCATGAGCAGTGTGTGAAGGTTATAATTGCTCCACATCCTCTCCAATACCAGGTATCTATTAGTCTATTTTTTAATTAAGATTTTTTTTTTTGTATTGTGAAAAACACCTAATAACATTTACCACGTTGACCATTTTTGAGACTTTTTGATTATAGCCATTCTAGTGGATGTTGTGGAATCTTGTTGTTGTGTGTGTGCTTTTTAAGATTTATTTATTTATTTTAGAGAGAAAAAGTGTGCGTGAATGGGGAGGGGGAGGGGCAGAGGCAGTGGGAGAGAGAATCCCAAGCAGATTCCTTGCTGAGCCAGAGCCCAAATCGGGATTTGATCTCATGACACCGAGATCTCGACCTGAGCAGAAAGCAAGAGTCCATTGCTTAACCTAACTGACTGAGCCACCCAGGTGCACCTCTTATTGTGGTTTTAATTCGCATTTCCCAAATAACAAATGCTGTAATTCGGGTTTTGGAGCAGATTAAAATTCCATTCCAGTATACCATGCTTTCCTTTCTAGAATCCTTTTTTGGTTTTGTTTTGTTATAGTCAGTTATGTTGTTAAATCTGACTTGGACACAGCCATTGGCAACTAACCCATAGCTCAGTGTCTAAAGAGTTAGTTCCTGGAGTTAGCAATCCACAAGGTCCAGTGGTAGTAAGTCACAGTAGAGCTCTGGGATAGGAGAGACTTTTGATATGAACAAAGCTTTAGGAGCCTTGAAATATTGTCTTTCATGGTCACCCCATTGGAAAGGGTGGTCAGGAATCACCCCCTTCCCTTCTGTTTTCACTTTTAAAAAAGACCCTTATTACCGTATAGATTTCTGTGTACTTGTCTTATCTAAGCTTCTTGAGCTGAAGATGAGTGTGAAGGATATCACATGGCTATTATTTCAGTAATTTATAGAATTAAAACAGTAACTTGTTTTTTTATTTTTGAGGATTTGGGAAGTGATAGAATTAACTGTAAGTTCAGTAACTGCAGTACCTATAAAATGATTGCTTTAAAAATAAAATTCTTGGAAAAATGTCTAATTTGGTGAAGAAGTTTGTTTCAGAGTTGTGTCTGTAGGGTGTGATTCATGTTTTGTTAAAAAAAAATTGCTGCAGTTTTGTTTTATTCCTAATGCATGAGCATTTGCTCTTACTGTCTGTTCCAGAAATTCTTACCCTGTTGTAACAATCTCTTAATTGTTCTTTTTTCCATCACTCTTGTCTTGTTCCAAACTATTCTCAACACTTCATCCTTTAAAAAATGCAAATTCTGATTATGATCAGCATGCAAAATGGTATAGAATTTAATATCTGCATTAGGAGTTATTTTAAGGATTCAAAGAGATAAGTCATGTTAAGTACTTAATGCAGTGCTTAGCACATGGCATTCAGGAACCAGAAATTGTACTATGATGATTCCATGTTTATGTGTAAAACCCTTCTGTTTAGGCCCAGACTCCTTAAGTGGCCCTGTATTGTGTGGCTTTTGCACAGTCTCTAGCCTTGACTTTTTTTTTTTCCCTAATTAACATAAGGTTGTTTTTTAAAAACCGAGCCATCATTCTATTATTATACTTAACAGAAATTCCTTAATATGACCTATTCTTAGACTATATTAATATTTTCTCAGTTGTTTCAAGATGTCTTTTTATAGATTTGTTTGATTTAGTGTTTTTTTTTTTTTGTTTTTTTTTTTGAGGAAGAGAGAGAGAGGTGGGGAAGGATAGAAGGATAGAAGG